CAGTGCTGTGATAACTAGAGAACAGATAAAAGATGACTAATTCTAAGGGGGAACTTTCATTGTGTGTGGGTTTCCTCAGAAATCTGAATCCCTCAACCAAAAAATAATGCAATTTCCCTAATGCCTTTTAAGTGGAGTCCCATGTGTGGTAAAGTTCTGTTTTAAAGTTCTGCTTTTGTACTAAAAACCCAAGTCAGCACTCTGTCAATTTAAAAATGGAGAAAAGGCACGGACACCCTCTGCTGGTAGTAGCTGAAACAGACTTTTGTTATTGGATTCTGGTATATTCAGGGACTAGTTAACCGGTTTTGAGGGCAACGGTAGGTGGGCTCTCTGTCTGGAGGGAATTGCATCATCTGTGGAGAATAATGGAGCAAACTTAGCTGATTATTTTAACAATGAGTGATTGCAAAGTACTTCCTTTGGTTGATTCATTTGTTGTTTTTGATAAAAATTCATTAAGAATATGAGATGTGTAAGACAAACTCCTTTTCCCAGTTAAAAAGCTAACTAGATCAGAGAAGAAAAGAAAAACCAGTATCCAGGATGCTTACTCAACAAGAAAATTTATTCAGAGATTGAGACATAATTTGTCTTAGTAATTTAGTTTCTGAAATTTTAGTCAATCAGTGATAGGAAACTTGTACAAGAATTTTTAAAAACTGTTGTAGAGTTTGTATTTCTGATTTTTAAAATTGACATTAAAAAAAAAAAAACCTCCTGAAATAATTTTGTTTTTCTGGATTTGTCGTTCATGCAAAAGAAGGTTGGTTACCATCAGCTTAGAGCTTTCCTATTTGAATCTGACAACTCCATTCTCCCCCTTTAAACTGCTCCCTCCCATTATGACAGACATATCAGTGCATGGAAGTTAGGCATGACAGGAAGAGCAGGAGGGGAGGGCAAAGAAAAGGGGCTTATTTAGAGTTTCAGTCATTTTATATAAACAACACATTTAAACATGACATGTTTTTATTTAACTAGATATTTCTTCTTCCTTTTCTTCTTTCTCAGAGCTGAGGATTGAAACCAGGGCCTTGGTCATGCTAGGCAAGCACTCTCCACTGAGCTACATACCCAACCCTTTATCTATTTTATTTATTTATTTTTTTCATTTCATAGCAGTTTTATTCTTTCACTGATCCAGTATTTGCAGGAGCCAGAAGGGACAGGCCATGCTCAGCCCAGAGAGGCAGCTGCCACACTTGCCAGACCCCCCAGCCATTATGTACAGATAAGGGACCGGTTTGGATCACCTTCAAAGCCATGTGGCGGAGGCCACAGGGCTGTTTGGGGGGCCTGAGCTCCAGAGGCAGTGCTGAGCCCATTACCCCCTGGCATCAAGCCCTCTGGGAACACAGGAACTCCAACTGATTTGTCTTGATCCTGCCATCCCCCTCTGTGAGTGCCTGGGAGAGGCCAAGGAGGTGGGTGCAGCAGTGAGAGCTGAGAGGCACCAGTTCCTGCAAGCAGCCCAAGCTCTAATTGAGTCTTGCTAAGTTATTCAGGTTGGCCTTGAACTTGTGATCCTTTTGCCTCAGTCTCCTGAGTAGCTGGGATTACAGGCATATGTCACTGTTCTGGCCCTGATATTTCTGCATACCATTCTATATATCTAGTGTTTGGATCTGGAATGACCCCCCAAAACTCAATATGTTAATGTCTAGGTGCCCAGCTTGGTGTTTTTTTGGTGGTGGTGAAACTTGTAAAAGATGGGGCCTCTTAGTAGGAGTTCCCTAAGCCTACGGTTTTTCTGTTACTCCCAAACTTCTGAAAAATATGTAAATCTACTGGTAAATTGTGAATTAACCCAGTCAGGCTGAGGCTCAGACCCTGGGAAAGAGTTTTGGGATCTTAGTAGGTGAAGGAAGATGCCAGTCACAGTTGGGATAGTAGACATACTTTATTTGAAGGTGACAGCAGCCTCAAGCCCTTAGCTCCCCAAGTCATTTTCATAGGACTGTTTTATGTATAGGCCAAAGAAGGCACATTGCCAACAGGTTGCATAAGTGAGTACATGCTCACAAGCAAAATGTTTATGACCTTGAGTACATACACTGAATCAGGGTTTTCATGATCTTGGCTATATACTAAAAACATAGCCCTCTGGAAGCTTTGGCAAGGGAACCTAACTATAGTGATCTTGGGCCTGCCCTACACCCCCAGTAATTAAGCAAAGAAGCATCTATAATTTACTTTCCAATGCTATCTATTGATCTGATAATGAAGACCACATGAGCCTGAGGATCTGGAAATTGACCAAACCACTAGAACTTGTCTTGAGATCACTCAACTATTATCACTTCTACATACCTTTCCATACCTTCCTTACCTTCAACAAACAGGAACCCCCAAAATGTGTCTCTCACTCTCAAAATGACCTGCACTCCCCCTTGAAGGCATATTCCTTGTTTCATACTCAAGGGTGTCTCTTGAGAGTGCCCTCATTCTCCTCCAAATCTGTTGTGTACTTTCCTACCCTATGTCTTTAACTGGTGCCTACGCAATTCCTTTTCATTAATTATGCCAAGAACCCTGCCCTTCTTGAGTTGAATTCCCCTTTCTCTCCAGGAACTCCTCAGACCTTGTAGAGGGGACACCTCTTCTCCAGTGATAAAATGACTGATAAGTGTTTTCATATAAATTCCCATCTCCCTAAACCTTTGAGTGGGATAACTCTGAGGTTATATGCTTTACACTGGCTTCCAGAGTTTTTTAGTGGGAGTAAGCTCCAGTTTTCCATGATGCTAACTTTCTTGATAATAAACCCATAGTGGATTTCTTCTCCTTGACTCAATTCCTTGCTCTGCTACCAGTGTTTCGTAAGATCACCTCCATCACTGACTACTTTAACTCAGGTCCTTTCTCACAGTCTGCTTTTTAGGAAATCCAAACTAAGACTTGGACTGTCCCATGGGAATAACGAATAAATAGGAGTACTCCAGTTTGTGCTCCCTAGACTACTTCAGACTGAGTGTGGAGTCATTTTCTTTTTAGGGAATTTGACCAGCCAGAAAGAATGACGTACAAATGCTTATATCATCTGTATCCAACTAACATCCCAGCCAGATCATCCTACAGCAAAGCTCTCAAAAACAAGCCCTAACCTCATGTTGAGAGCTTCCAATCCATTTTTATAGCACTTGACTCCATTTTTTAAGGACTTTTCAGTGTGAGTGAATAGTGAAGGACCACAGTCAACTAATAAGATAGGAGATCAATTTAATAGCAAAGAGCGACTGAAATGAATAGAAGGGAGAGGAAAACTTAAAAATATATTAATATTCTCTGAAGGATATGAGAAATAAATAAATAAATATGTATATATATACATATTTATTTATATATACATATTTATTTATATACATATATGAAATATGTGTATATATATACACATATTTCATATATGTATATATGAAGCAAGAATAAACTAACACAAGAAAGGGACATTTGAAGTTTAAAATAGAACTCTTCTGAAGAGTTAAACAAAAACAAAAATAAAAAAAAACTCTGTAGATGTCCAAACGATACGAGGAATTTCCAAGAAAGAGCAAAAAGACAAAGCTGGAAAACTGGAGAGTAAGATAGATGGTGCCAGTCTTTTTTTTTTTTTTTTTAATATATTTTAGTTGTCAACGGACCTTATTTATATGCGGTGCTAAGAAGCAAACCCAGTGCCTCACACATGCAAGCCAAGCGCTCTACCACTGAGCCACAACCCCAGCCCTGGTGCCAGACTTTTATATCGCTATGGGATATAAGAGATTTCACACATCAGCAGCTGATGAGAGCGTGAAAGGAAGCTGAAAACACAGTAACTAGTTCATCTCAATAAAACACACACAGTTTAGGCAGTTGCACAGGAATGTAAGCGGAGGCACTGGCACGCTGCTCTCACAGGAGTGTGAAGAAATTATGCAAACCTAGATATAATGAATTCGACAGAAATTAGGAGAAAGCATGAGAGATTAAATGGTAGAACAGAGTATACTCTTGATAGAGCTGGTGTGTGTGGTGGGGGTTGGTGGGAGCTGTGAGTCTGATATAAGAACAGATGGATCCAGTTTCTCCAAAGATCATGAATGAATTTGGACTCCACCAAGATGAGAAATGAATGAGGACAAGCCATTACAGTGGTGTGTGTAATGGGTAGAATGCAAAGCCCATGTTCAGGTTCAGTGTTTCCTGAGATCTCACTGGGTGTCAAGTAGTGGGATAAAGTCCTTTTCTTCATATTTGGGACAAGGTGTCTGAGGATAAAAGAGAGGTGAAGCACATTAAAAACGGCATACTCTTTTTGGGTACGGTGTACGCCACTAATCCCAGTGGCTCTGGTGGTTGAGGCAGGAGGATTGCCCAAGTTTAAGGCCAGCCTTAATTTAGTCAGGCTCTAAACAGTTTTGCCAGAGCCTGGAGAGGTGGAAAGGTGGTTAAGCGCCTCCAGTTTCAATCCCCAGTACCCCCCAAAACAAAAATAAAATTATAATAAAAGGCACAGCCAGTGCCTGGAGGAATGGGGGGGCAGTGGTGAGTGAGTGCGCAGGCTATTTGGTGAATACTTGAATACATGAGAGTGCTTATCGGATTCTCGGGGTCCGCCTCGCGTGGTGAGCGAGTCACGGAAAAGTCAATGAGACCACGCCGAAGTCCCGGATGTTGGTCTCGGTGTGGGCATGGAAGACCCCAGCTTTCTAAACTTCCAAGCGGTGCAAAAGAGGCCTGATACGCATGCGCCTACCCGTCCTGGCGCTCAGTCGAAGGCGGCGGGAAGTTGGTTTTCCGAGCAGGAACTGAGCAGCATGAAAAAGGATTGGAGATGACGGACCAATAAACAGACGTCTCATTGGCTTAGCGTTCTCAGACTCCCAATCCTTCAGCTTCCCATTGGGCCTTTTAAGCAGGGCAGGGGCGTGACTGTCGGGGCTCCGCCCCGCGCCTCGGCCCAGCCTCGGGGTCCTGGGCTGAGGAAGCGGGACGGAAGTGAACGGGTCCCGCCCCTTCCCCCTAGGCTTTCGTCGGAGCTGCCGCCGCTGCCGCCACCGCAGCCCGCTCTCCGGCTAGCCGGAGCCTCTTTTCTGTACCCTCGGTCCCCGGCCGCGCGGAGCCGGGATGCACTGCTCCTGCTGTGGGTCCTCATCATGGAGACCAAACGGGTGGAGATTCCTGGCAGCGTCCTGGACGATCTCTGCAGGTACTGCGCTGCTGCGGGTTTCTTCTCAGGGTCGCCAACCCCCGGGCGTCCTCCGCGCGCCCGCTTGCAGGTCCTCGCTTTCCTCTCCCGCCGCCGTCAGCTCTCCACCGCTGACTCTTCCCCGCCACCGCCCCCTCTCCGTTTCTGCCGCAGCCTCCCTGTTTCTCACGGCCCCCATCCTCCCGCGCTGAGCACGCAGTGTCTGGTTTTCTTGGTATCCGCACGGGTTTCGCTTTCTCGCAGTTGAAGCCGCTCGTCCAGAACCAGAGTTTTCTTTAGCATATTTTCGGCCCATTTCTGTCTCTCTCTTTTGGTTGCTGACTTTCACACACCGTTTCTCCTCCCTCCGTCTCATTTTCTGAATCTGTAGGAAGCCCCCAGTGTATTGGGTCGTAGGGTCTCTGGTACCTGGACCCATGGCAAGGAGCAGTTTTGAAACTTAAAAACCTTTCTTCTGCATATTCGTCTATGTCCGTGGCATTCTCTATACATTCCTGAAAAGAATTTATTATTCTCTTTTTCCCAGGACTTAAAAATCTTCGAGAGGGAGAGGGGAAAAGTCGAGAGCTGCTTTTCTTTTCATCCCTTAGTTATCTTACTTGAAAGGAAATTCTCATTCGCAGGGTTTTAACTCGGGGTACGTACACTTTCCCAGGAGAAATTTTGTGCATTCTTTCTTGTCAGCTGTGGTTTCGGATAACCAAACACGTGTAAAATGTACTTAAAATACTTCTTCGAAGTAAAATTTTTGGTAGTTAAGCGAGTTGTCGTCTAGAGATGTGGATTGTAAAGTCATTTGGATTACAAGTGAGTAAAAGCTCTGATAAACACTTATGTACTTTTAATTATTGTACTTGTGTTTAAAGGTCAGATTCAGTGGTGTCGCATTCACGCTGATTTTTTTTTTTAAATGCCAAGGAAAGAGTTTGTGGAGTTTCTACTGGGCTAGGTATTGGATGCTCCCTTCACATTTATCATTTTATTTAATTCTCGAAATAACCCTTTTTTGATAGGTGCAGTGATTTCCATTTTTTTTTCCCCCAAACATGCAGAGACTTGGTAATTTAAACACGGTCACATTCATCTTAATTCAGAAAATCAAGATTTGAAACCTGTGCCTTTTCTTTTTCCAATAGTACCTGTGCTTTTTTCCGGTACCAAGTCCAGCATTTTGCACTTCACAAAAGTATACGTGAAGAGTAAGTAAACTAATTTGTAACTAATAAGAATGTCATGTGATGGAAGATTTATATTTTTTGAAATATGATAGATGCAGATGACCTTTAAAAGTTAAAAAAATGCTTTCTATGATCCCAAATTTGGTAAGAGAATTTGGTACATTTATTTCTATGAGGAGAAGTGCCTAGAAGATCATGAATCAAAAGTGAGATAATAGGATTGTGATCTTCATTTTCTTCATGTTACGAAGACTTTTTAAAGGATGTTCATTTTATAGATAGAAAAAAATTAAAGAAGAGTATTTGGAAAGGTGAGCAGTTAATTGTATGTGGGTTAATAGAGGTAAAAGTTGATTTAGTTAGGCATCTAAACTAGTCTTCCTACCAGTATTGGGATTAGTATGGCCATTTCGTAGGATTAAATCATTTAAAGAAGTGATAGGTCACTATGATTCTATGTATGGAAACTGTTCACAGAATAGTTAAATGTGTTTTGTAAGGTTAAATATCCCTCAAGTGTTAAATACAGATAGTTGATTTTCCAGTGAATGTATTTAAGCTATTTTCTTATACAACTCTTTGGAATGGTTTTAATTTTAAAAAGTTTTTTTTAAAACAATTACTGTTTGGATATATACATAAAAATGTAATATATTAAAAAAAATTAGGGCTAACTAGTCTATAAACTAGTGACAAAACCAAATGGCCATTTCTTAATATTTCAGGTTTTAAAAATAATGCTTTTTGAAATGCTTTTATACCTTTGTTGATGAATTTGAAGATGTTTTTATGTTAATAATTCAAACTTTTGATTGTGGTTTTAAAAAAAATTTACACTTAGAATTTAAAATTTTTCTGGGCTTTTTTTTGTTTGTTTCCTTTTTGGAATCGAGAATTGAACTTGGTGCATTTAACCATGAGCCACATCCTCAGTCCTTTTTATTTTTTATTTTGAGACAATCTTACTAAGTTGCCATATATATAAATATACATAAATATATAAATATATTTATATATATGGCTTTATTTTGTTTACTTATTTGTATGTGGTGCTGAGGATCAAACCTAGTGCCTCACACATGCTAGGCAAGCGCTCTACCACAGAGCCATAACCTCAGCTCTTACTAAGTTGCTTTTGGCCTAAGTTGCTGAGGCTGGCTTTGAACTTGCAATCCTCTTTCGTTAGCTTTTAGAGTCGCTGGGATGGACCATGCCCAGGTCTTAGATACCTCCTGAATTATAAATTCAAACCCCATTCTGTTCCTTAGCATTAGAGTGTTTTTTTGCAGTTTATTTATTTATTTTGATGACATTCTCCTGTGAATCTTGCCTACTGTAGCCATTGCCACATATTAATAAATTTTGGAGAAATGTGAAATTTGGAAGTTGATTTTAATGTAAAAAAAAGTAGAGGAAACTTAAAATTTCAAAATGTGATCATGTAACCATTAGTCTGCTTACAACATAAGATATGGAATGTTATCTTTCAGATACCTTAATTGCAACATTTCATTTACTGGAATACTGTGTAGCCATTACAGATTCCTAAAGCAATTACCAAATAGTAAACTGAAGGAGAGTGTTTGTATGGTGGAAGACATACATATCATACCATTGAGTGTAATACTTTTTAGTAAAATTAAATGCCTTTGCTTAAAACAAATTTTTAAGAATGTGTGTGTGTGTGTGTGTGTGTGTGTGTGTGTTTGTATACACAGGAAATATCTGAAAAGAATTTCTACTATGCTGTAATTTTTGGTTTATTTCTGAGTGGAGTGGAGTTAGAGGAAAGGAAGAGAAGACTCCTCTTAAAATGTTCTAGGGGCAAAAATCACCTTGTAATTATAAGTATATATAAAGGTAAAATAAATCAGCATTTTATGATGATACTTGCCTTTGATACACCATGATTTTTGACATTTTAAAGTTAAATACAAAAAACAAGTCAAATAGTTTTTAATACCATATAAACTAGAATTAAAACTGCTTATAAAGAATTGAAAAGCATGTTTTAAAAATGAAAACTGGAGTTTGATAAGTTGTTTCCTTTTGAAAAAAATGCTTGAATTATTATTTTTATTTTTTGTACCAGCTAATGAACCCAATGGTGCTTACTTAACCATTGAACCACATTCTTAGCCCGTTTTATTTATCTTTTATTTTGAGACAGGGTTTCACTAAGTTGCTGAGGGCCTTGTTAAGTTGCTGAAGCTGACTTTGAACTTAAGATTCTTCTGCCTCAGCTTCCCAAGCTACTAGGATTATAGGCATGTGCCACCTTGCCTGGCTGGGATTTTTTTTAAAAGCCCCTTTAAAATTAGACGGCAAGGCCAGCCTTCTGTTAAAAGGGAAACTAATGTTGCCACTATTTTGGAGATAGCATAGGTTATTTAAACAATTTGTGCTCATTTTTAGTTAGCCATTTTAGTGTTGAATTCTGAAACTTTTCTTTTAGCTAATTGCAATCCTCATACTACTGTTTCTATAGGAAAATTGATGATAACATCTTGAGAAATAGCTTTTCTATAATAAATTATGGAAGGCATATTATTTTCCCTATACATATACGTACATATGCATACACTTTTAAATCTTTAAAACAGATCAATAGTATTTGCAAAATGAAAGCATTAAATATGTGTAATTTTCGTGTATTAAAATTTTCTTTTTCTTACAAACTTAATGATGTAAGCTTTTAGCTATAAAAAAGATGTAATCATGTGTATGTTTTTTAAAAATCAGTACAGTTGGATTTATAAATGAAAAGCAACAGTTTCTTGTCCTACCCCTTTCTATTTCTGTTCTTTCTAGAAGCATTGACTTTTACTTTTGTATTGAATGCTTCTGGTGGATACATCAATATTTTAAAATATACTTGTGCCAGTTTTTTGTTATATTAACTTTGGATATTAACATAAGGATTTAGTTTATCTTGGTGGATATTAGGTGAGGGTTTAGTTTACCACATCCACTATTGACCTCATCCTGTCTCCAGCATATTGTATTTTTATTACAATTTTAAGCTATTCTGTTGTTTCCCTTTGACACTCTTATATACTTAAAATTATATTTCTGTTGAACATACAAAATCTCTTGAGTCTCTGTTTGATCAGGTGAGGCAATTAATACTCCCTCTTTTACATTTCTTAATCATTTCTCCAGCTTCTGTCCAAATGAACTTACAAATTAAGATTGGTATTTCTATTCCATATTATAACCTTCCAAAGTCTATTTTACTGTTTTACTATTGTTGAATGTAAAAGCAGAACAATATTAGTAGCATTTGTTATACAGTATAACCAGGTACCTGTTCTTAACAGTAAAGGCAGGTCTGTAGTGGTTAAGATTTTGTTCCCATGTGGCCAATAGCGCTCGAGTCTTTGAAAGTGTCTTGAAGGAGAGAGTGTTCAAATGGATTCTTTTTTTTTTTCTTAAAGTCTACTAATTGGTCATAAGGTCATAATAATTTAACTTTTTACATGTGTTTTTGAGCAACACACACTTTCCTGACCTCTTAATTCCTTTTTATTTTTAAGATTGGTGTTCTGTTAAAAAAATTTTTTTTTCGTTTCATATTTAGACTGTTTTTCTTTCACGTCTACCCTTTTCCCCAACATTTCCATAGTTTTCTAGCCTCCCCACTTCTCATCTGCTTCTTGTTAAACCCTCAGTCTTACTATTCTACAGAATTCTTTTTTCCTATACACTGCCTTCTTGGAAATCTCCACTTTCCCAGTCCAATCTGGATTAGAAGCTCCTTAGACTGCCCAAACAACTTAGTTGAATTCAGTTTCACAATTCTCAGGTGGTACTTATTCTTTCTTGAATCTCATGTTTTATTCTTTCTAGATTTTTATTCTTGCTTTCCTGGTGCATATATTAATTTCTTTTGAAGGGATAAGTTAAGGGGGAGTAAACTTTTTAAGTCCTTGTATGACTAAGGACCCTTCCAATACTGGATGGTGTTCCTAGGTGTTTTAAGGTCTTTTAATACTTCTAGTAGTCAGGCTTAAAGAAATATCCTCAACACTGTCTTACAAGGCTTTTGTTGAGTATATTTTAGTAATGATATTGTTAATCTCTAAGGGCTTGTATTCAGTGTGTGTGTGTGTGTGTGTGTGTGTGTTTTAAGTGAAAAATACATTTGCTCCAAAGGGCTCTTTGACTCTCTTTGAGGGCATTAATTAATTCTTCCTTTGACCTTTCGTCCTTATTTTCTAATTCCTGAATTTTTTTCTTCAGGGTCTTTTTTTTTTTTTTTAAGTTTAATTTTTTTTCCAGGTTTTCTTTAGATGTTGAGTGATTCTTGGTTGCCTTTTTCGTATTTGGGATGGGATAGTAGAGGGGCTTATTATTGATAGTTTTTTTCTTTATGTGAGTGATAGGGACTTTGCTCATAAACTTAGGGCCGTTCAGAAAGCAGTCTGTGGAAGCTTTGCTTAGGATCCAACACCCAAAGCTATCTGCTTGAATTAATAGAAGAACCCTCAGTTATTATTCTCCTTTTCTTATTCTTGTACAGGAAACCCCTGACTGGTAAAGGAGTGAAAACCTAGTGGACATTCTTGAGTTACATAAACAGACTCTATACAGTTTCATTTGATTTTAGACCTATTCCTTATTCCCATCCACCAGCTTACTTCCTTCACTTGAGGCTTCCCTGTGTTGGGGTAGGATAAGGTGGGCTTTTTTTCCTTACTTAGGCATTCTCTTATAATGTTGTATTGTGTGCCTAATGTTCTAGCAATTTGTTTGAAATGGGATTTTTAGTTAAAGATGAATGTAAACATCTTCACTGAAGACGTTTTATTTAAAAAAAAATGCATGGACATAAGAAAGGAAAGAATGGGTGAAGTGGTGAGCCAACAAAATTTGGAAATTATAGAACAGAAGGAGATACTTGATTGTGAGGATGGGGGCGAGGATAAACTTTTCCCTATACTCTGTAAACACAGCACCTCTCTGACCATTGTGTGTGTGTTTTCCCCATACACACTAAACAAGCAAGCAGTTCTTCAGTGGATGGTACCTGGGTGTCCTAATTCAATCCAGTTCAAACATTATGTATTTGAAGGTATTGTCAGATTCCACAGGTCGAGAGCTCAGTCTCACAAGATCAGTGAGAGTCCAGACTTCTGGAACTATCGCTGGATGGGCTACAAATTAGTGGTTCCCCCGACCCATTCCTTGTGTTACAAAGGATACAGGTGAAGAGATATATGAGGAGAGGTTGTGTGGGAAGGGGCTCCAAACTCCCATGCCCTCTCTGTCACTCTCCAGGAACTTCCGTGTGTTCAGCTTTTCAACCTCCCCCCCCCCCCCCCCCCCCCCCCCCCCCCCACCCCCCCACCCTCTTCTTCGCGCTCCTCCCCCCCGCCCGATCCCGGAAATACCGCCCC